CATATAGCCATGACAAAACAGGCTTCTCCATAAACTCTCGCTGCTTCCTAGGCTGGACCAAACGAGTCCAAATGCCCATCATAGCAGGGCAATCTCGCAGAATGTGTAGAATAGTTTCCACTCTTCCCTTGCACACATGGCAGACATCAGAGTCACATATATGTCGTCGTTTCCGTTCCGCATTTGTCATGAGACATTGGTTTCCCACGAGCCAAAGAAAAAGTCTCACCCGTTCAGGAGCTGCCACACGCCATATCCGATCGAAAAAAGACTCCATATTCTGACGCGGAGCCAAGTTCCTTGTCAATAGCTCATATGCAGAGCGCACCGTGAATTCACCATTCGGGCTTGCTGTCCAGGAGAGTGTATCCTTATTCCCTGCAATGGTATTCAGAACCACAGAAAGTAGCCGCAGTCGCGTATCCTCCGAGACAAAAGGGGTAATCTGATCCCATCTCCACTCTGTATCATCCCCCCAGAGTTGCCGAGCTGTCAACTCCTTCATGGCCTCCGGAAGTGCTATCACATTCGTATTTATCAGGGGAGTATCCGAGAGCCATCGGTCAGTCCAAAACTTAATCGAATTTCCATCTCCAGCGACCCATCCTAAGCCCTGGAAAACCACTTCACGCATCCCACTCAAAATGCTCTTCCAAGTAGCAGACCAATAAGGTTTGGTAACGATCCAACCTCTCTCCGAGAGGTCCCCAATCTTGTATTTGCTTCTTAGTACACCCCCCCATAAGCTGTTCTGGTCCTGCAGCAAACGCCAACCAACCTTCGCGATCATAGCTTTGTTCATCTCAGCAGCCGAGCGAATCCCTAGTCCTCCATCTCGCTTCGGCAAACACACTCTCTGCCAAGCTACTAGGTGTTGCTTTTTGTTCTCGCCATCGCTCCCCCACAAGAAAGACCTTGTTAGCTGGTCCAGCTTAGCTAGGGTCGACTTTGGGAGTAGTATGGTGCTCATTGAATGCACAGGGATGGATGAGATGACTGCCTTTGTCAGTGTAAGTCTCCCAGCCATACTTAGAACACGTCCTTTCCAACCCGCCATGCGCGCAGACACGCGCGCCACAACTTCACCAAAGGTCTCTTTATTTAACCTCTTATGTAACACCGGCATTCCCAAATACTTCCCCAGGTCGCAAGTTGGTTGAATACCACTGGCTCCACTAATCTCATCTCTCAGTTCCCGGGCTACATTGGCAGAGAAGTATATTTTTGACTTCTCAAGGCTCACTTTCTGCCCAGAAGCCAAGCAAAAGCGTTCCAAAACACCTCTTATGACCCTGATCTGACTCACAGACGCTTCCGCAAACAGTATTAAGTCATCAGCAAAGCACATGTGGGATAGCTTTGGTCCTCCTCTTGATAAACTAATTGGTTTCCACTTGCCTTCCCCAATTGCATTTTCCACCAGATGGCAAAGTCTTTCCATACATAGGACAAAAAGATAGGGAGAGAGAGGATATCCCTGTCTAAGTCCACGTTCCGGCTTAAAAGCTTCTGTTTTTTCCCCATTCCACAACACGTGCATAGATGGACCTGTGACACACTGAAGAATCCATCTGACCCATTTCTCTGATAAACCAGCTGCGATGAGAGTATCTTCCAGAAATTCCCAACGAATTCGATCATATGCCTTCTCCAAATCGAGTTTCAACAGCATCCAACCTCTCTTCCCTTTCTTACGTCTCATCGAGTGTACTGCTTCCTGTAGCACCACAATGTTATCTGTACTGACTCTTCCAGGAATAAAGCTCGCTTGGGCTGGGCCAATCAGCTTTGCTATCACTCTTTTCAGTCGATTCACCATAACTTTGGTGATAGTCTTGAACAGGACGTTACACAGACTTATCGGTCAAAACTGGGTAATCTTTTCCGGTTTAGAGACCTTACCAATAAGCACTAGGAGAGCATCATTTGTATCCTGCGGAAGTATGCCTGATTCAAAGAACTCCAACACAAAACGAACCACCGATTCTTTCACCACATCCAGCAACTCTGGATTTGAAACCCATCAGGTCCCGGTGCCTTGTACCTCCCCATCTTTCGTATTGCTTCCTCCACCACCATTGGCACAAACGGCTTATCAAGATTTACCTGCTCCTCTCGTGTAAGTCTTGTAAAGCCTGGCAACGATAACCTCTCCACATAAGCCTCCACATCCTGTAAAGAGTACAGTCGCTTGTAATATCGGACAGCAAGGGTCTCGAGTTCCTTCTCTGTAACTCAAATCTCCTCGTCGTTCCTGAGCATCTCGATACGGTTTCGGCGTCTCCGGATAACCGTTGACGTATGAAAGTAAGATGTGTTCCTGTCCCCCAGCGCTATGTACTTCTCCCTCGATTTCTGGAACCATATCAACTCTTCTTGCTCCAGAATAACGTCAAACTCTTTAAGCAGCCTCTCCTCTCTTGCTAGTAAAGAGTCTGATTGGTTATTCTCCAGGGAGTCCTGCACATGTTGTATCTCACTTAGTAGCTTCTCCTTCCTTCTCTGTACATCCCCAAACACCTCACGGTTCCACTTCTTCAGAGTCATCCTGAGTGAGTCCAAGGCCTGAGGCGTGCTTCTCTCCCCTCGCCACGAAGCCGTCAACAGCTGTTGAAAACCCTCATGCTTCAACCACGCCGCCTCGAAACGAAAGGGTCTCCTCTTTGCGTTTCCTCTCACGGTCGGAGATAGTTGGACATATAATGGGGCATGATCGGAAGCCAAGAACGGAAGATGCGTTACCTTTGCTTCCTGCCATTTTAGTCTGGCGTGGGCACATCATAAGACCCGATCCAACCGTTTTGCTATGAAAGTGCTTTCGAATCGGCCCCTCTTCCAAGTGTAGCGATTTCCATGGAAGCCCATATCTATCAGTGACAGATCTTGAATCCACTCCCCAAAAGCCATCGAGTCCGGCGACAATCTCCCATTTCCACCGGCTCTTTCATCCACTCTTACGATGGTATTGAAGTCCCCGCCAACTATTAGTGGTCCATCAATCTCTTAAATAACCTCTGTAACCTATAGAGTTTCTAATGTATTAAGAACATGTATTAAAATTAAATTGAAAACCAAAATAATAATTAAAAATAAGATAACTAAAATCAATAAATATCAATATGTTAGACTTTTCAATCCTGCTTTTTTATTGATGGCTCAATATAATTTTTTCTTTGGTTTTTGCTCAACATAAATAGTAAAGTTAGAAATAACAGTACCTTGCAGCAGAAGATACTCTTCACAAGAAAAAAATGAACCCATTAAGAACCAATCTAGGGAGTTTCAAACTCTTGGCTACAGATTCTGTGAAGATCCATCCAGAATCATGGATCAAACAGCTAATCTTCTCTTTCTTTTCCTCTGTCTCTGAATCTAAAGACTGCAAAAGTTTAGTCAAACAGTCACGAAACAGAGTCACACATCCTCGGTTGAGAAGAGCAAAGTGTTGTCGTCAGTTCTTGTCTCTGTTTCAGACAAGCCGTCTTGGATCTATAAGAAGGTGAAGAAAGGATGGCTTGAAGCTTTTGGCGCGTTGAAACGCATGTGTATCGAAGTGATGGAGAAACCTCTTGAGTGGAGGGTTTGTGTTTTTGTTCGTTCTAGTGGAGGTAAATAATTTCAATTTTTCTAAAAAAAATCTTCAATATTTTTATATCCTTCATGTGTTGTATAAAATCGAAAAGTGTTTGTGTTTTTGTTCATTCTAGTGAAAAAATATAGTTTTTTTAGGGATTTTGTCTATTTTCAGGAACTGCAATTATTAGTTATGTAAAATGTTTTATTTTTTTAGTTGATTTATCGTTAGAAAAGCTCATTTCTAATTCCAATTAGTGAAAGGCTTAACCCACCAGTGAGATGAGATTTGAAAAGTATCTCACATAATGAAGAAGTAGAGAAGAGGAGAATGAATCAGCTCATCGATAACATGTCTCAATCCATTGAGAGGAATGAGAAATGCAAGCAAGTGCTCGAACACGAGCATAATGAGGCTTCTCTTGTTTTGGAGGGTATGAAATTGCCCAACCTTCAGCAACATAGAACCTACATAGAAGGTGAGAAAAAAAAACTTAAAAGAATATAATCTTTTATGTTTAATTTCTTGCTCACTTGTTTTGTGTTTCTTCTTGATGAGAAGAAATTCAAAAGATGGACGTGAATGTGATAGAGTTGTGTAGGAATATTATACAAGCGCATGAAAACTCTATGAAAGAGCTTGAGGCAGAGAGGAAGAACCTAGATGAGCGTGAAAGAAAGATCACAAACAAAAATAAAGATGTCATGGGAAAATCCAGACTTGAAATGGTGATTTTTCATTCTATATAAATTAAAAAAAAACACATTTGTGTGGGAAGTCTATCAGTTGGCCCAATTGGTTTACATGGTAATCAGATGCAGGAGGCCTGATTACCCCTTGACATTAGTCGAAAAGCACTCCAACCTCGGGACAGGCAGGGTGGTAGCCCAAATTTGGATCTCATGACTTGTGTCCGTTGAACCGTTGAACCACGGGAAGAGTCCACTTTGTAGCACATCGGTGTGTTTCTACCGGGGCTGACCGGAAGCCGATAGGATCTATCAAAAAAAAACATAAGATAAATCAAATCTGAAATTGGTCACTTTTTCTGGCTGTTTTTGAAGAATGAAAAGGCTATGTTGGAGCAGAATGAGGAAGCTATGAAACTCGCAGAGAAAAGCACCAGGCAAGACAGTTTTTTTCATAACCTTATGTGTTACATGATAATAATAATAATTTAATTTTTCACACACACAAAGGTGGCTGAGTAGAACTATTACGGCCCTGTTCTTTTGGGAATCGCTGCGATTGAGGCTGCGACTGAACTTCCTTTACAATTTAACTCTTCATCGATGCTGGGTTGAAAAGGATGAATCGCAGCGACCGAAAAAATCAAAGGAATCCGGTGACCTCCGAGTCGCAAGAGAAAACCAGCGGCACCTCTGCTCTTCACTCTCCCCTGCAATCAAAAATGCTGGGACTCTTTTCCTCTCTTTTCTGTACATTTCCTTTTAATTTTACTCATAAAATTCTGTCGCAGCCGCAGTCACGGCGATTTTCAAACGAACATGGCCTACATCTAAAATTATTCATCCACAATATTAATTATGACGCTAATATTAAGCTACTTTTAGTCTTAACTAGTCGTTAGAGTAGACTAAGAGCGAACAAAATTCAGCAATTAAGTACATGAAAACTGAGTTCACATGAATTACAAATGGTTTGATTTTGTACGCTAGTTCAATATAATTTGATGTAGAGATATAAAATTCTTGAAAACTGGTAAACTTGGATGGTTCTGCGTATATTCAACTCCTGATATTTATAGTTTCTGAAAAACATTAAAATTTTTGTAGAAAGAGAAGGAGAATCTTTATAACGCCTAGACCGCTCATCCCGATGAGTCACCCATGCCCTCTTTCGGCCCGTGGGTCCCACCCCTTTTCGCGGCCGGTTTGTTATTTTTAAGAGGCTCTAGAGATTTGTTTATTGTCTCTCCAATCACACCTGTTATTGATGAGCAGTTTTGGAATATGAATAAAAAATTGATGACAGAGAAAATATCATTTATTTATTAAAAAAATTTAGTGGGTAAGAGGATTAAATGGTGTATTTTGTTAATAGCTTGGAGGAATAAAAACATGACTATTGCTTTCCAATTGGCTGTTTTTGCATTAATTATTACTTCATCAATCTTACTGATTAGTGTATCCGTTGTATTTGCGTCTCCTGATGGTTGGTCGAGTAACAAAAATGTTGTATTTTCTGGTACATCTTTATGGATTGGATTAGTCTTCTTGGTGGGTATCCTTAATTCTCTTATCTCTTGAATTCATTCGTTGCAGCTCCAAAAATGAGATGACCCCTCCCATTCCATGAATTACAGAGATTAGGGAAACTACATCCTGAAACATTTTTGCCAGCAATGATGTGGAAACATAGAGGTTCAATATAAAGAGCAGAGAATGAAGCGCCGAGTTATGCTCGTTGTGGGAAGCACAAATCGGAGATGTGCAATGACTAACATATCAGCGAAACGTAGTCTTCCTTCGCTTCTGATCTGCGCCAGACGCCTCCATCCAGCATGTGGGCGAGGGATCAAATGGCTCTCAAGAGCCCAGGTAAATTCTTTACGTTCCTGCCAATATATCGCAGGAACCTCACACGTCATTTCTGGTTTCCATCGACATGCTACGTCGCAGAAGAAAGGTTCTCCCTCTAGAATTGTCCTGCTCTCTTCATAGATCTCCATCGAGGGAATGACCGTCCATTTCTGACATGTTGCACATTGGACCGCCAGGTTATCAATTACAACCTTTCGCTTATGTGTGACAACACTTCCTTCACACTGAAGAAAGTGTGTACAAACTTCCACGGGGTCGTCCACTCGGATCTTTTCTTATATTTGTTTCTTTTGGCTATTATGTCACTCCCTCAGGACAGAAGCTTCGATCAGGGAAGGATGTGGAAAATTTACTTTTTCTAGCACTCCATTTCAATCTTCTTCTTTTTTTTGTTAAGTCATTTTCCCACACAACATATTATTCCACAAATAATTGATAAAAAGCCAATTAATTAGACCTATTTTTCTGTTTCCTGATCTTGAATAATACTTAGGAATTCCTATAGATACTTATTAGACCTATCTTAACCACAATTTCACATTTGACTTGAGCTGATAAAGCTGAAATATGACTATGGTGAAAGAGTTTGTGATGAAGTGGTAAGAGCAAAAGAGGAGATAGAGGATCACAATGCAAGTGGTAGCTATGTGATTGTGGAGCTTTGGAACTATGAGGAAAACCGGAAGGCCACATTGGAGGAAGCAACAAATGTGATGTTGAAGGTGTGGTCGGATCTTGGGGATAAGAAGAACAAAAGACAAAGGCTTTGAGAGATCTATCTTAAAGAAAAAAAACAAAAGAAGATAAGAGTTTTAAGGAAAAATGGAGAGATTGACTAATGATGAGTTTTTGCCTTGTGAAAAAGGTTTTCTCTCTTTTTGAACTTATTGGTAACAACTATCAACGGTGTTTTGCTTGTACTGAACCTAGTCGCCTTGTTGGTTTCGTCATTAGTCTTTTCTTCAAAATTGAACTTATTGGTATAACTAGGCCTGCGACTTTAGCCCGAACCCAATAACCGAACCCGTATTCGACCCAAAAACTCGCCCCGAGTTGGGTTTGGGTTTGCCATAATAACCGATCGGTTCTGATTTAAATTTCAGATTGGGTTCGGTTCGGTTCGGTTTACACTCGATAACCGAATTAATAACTGAAAACCGATTATTAACACTTGCATAACCTAAAACCTAAAAAAACAACACCGCCTCTTCACATTTTCCCCGAATCCACAAGACCACAAAATTCTTCCTTTTGCATCTCTTTGCAATCTCTATCATAATCTTTCTCTCTACCAACAATGGTAAATTGCAACAAGAATCAAAACCCTTTTCTTTGTATCCTTAGTTTTCTCTTCATCAATCTTGCGACGCGATTGAAGGATGTCTTTCACGAGTGTGAGAGCAGAAGAATCAAATTCCTCTGGACCATGAAGAGGAGAGGCCGGAATAGTGATTGTGAGAGGGAGAAAGCGACGAAGGAGAAGGAATGGGAGGAGGAGGATAGAAAATAATGATGGAAGAAGAGATCTAGTTGAGATTTAGGGTTTCAGATCTTGCTCGCGATTGTGTCTGCGGCGGAATCACCGTTTTAGGTTCAACCCGAACCCGAACTTTCAAACCCGAATCTGACCCGAACCCGACCGAATACCCGAACGATTTCTAAACTTCCAAACCCGAATACCCGAAACCCGATTTAACCGACCTAAACCTGATCGGTTAACCGAAGTAGCTGGTCTAGGTATAACTATGAATGCTGTTGTTTGATTATATTAACTTAGGGCACACCGAAACTCATAAAGCTTTAAAAGGTTAAAGCATTATCGGCGTGATTGGGGAGAGTCTACAGCCCAAATTAAAGTGATACCCAATCATACTGTCGATCGTTATTTTAAAAATCAAAGCCCACTTTCCTTATTTTAATTTGTTTATTTTGGCTATACAAAGCTAATTTTATACAGCCATTGTTTAGTCTCTAGAAAGATGCACATATTATTTTATTACTAGGTATTTTACCCACACCACGCATGGATTCCGTTTTTATGTTTAAAAACAATATATGAATTTTTTTAATTTTTAATTCTTCAAAGTTTCATTGAAAAAATAATTTATTTTTTTTAATATTTTAAAATTTTCTTTTATAATTATAGTTTCTTATTATTTATCTCTTTAATTTAAAATTTTAATGAACCATTTTAATTCTTGTATAATTTGTCACAACAATAAAAGAAATTTTCTTATGATAATTTCTGATTAAAAATATATTACAAACTTTTTCACATTTTCTCATTAGCATAGAGGCCCAATCACTCGAGAAGTTATATTAATCCCCAAAAGTTTATTATCCTACTATTTTGAGTTGAATATAAATAACCAAATTTCCAATTTTCGGGTTGAGAGTCTGGTTTCTGCCAGCAATGATTCAGCTCGCCAATATTGAGGAAATCTTTTAGAAAAATTGAAATTATTTACCTCATTAGAATTGTTTGTTCAGATTCGCCAGCTGAAATTTATGAGGAGTTTGTTTTCCTTGTTTTTTTCCTTTTCTATGAAATTGGAAAAATAAGAAGAATTGTAAGAGAATCGGTATAAAATCTACATCATCAAATCGATTATCTTCGTCAATTGGGTTAAATTATTTTTCAACTTTTTAGTCATTGCATATATTAATGTTCAAACAACAATACAATACTATACGAAATTGAGAAATGACAGAAATTGAAACATACAGAAACGGAAAAAGAAAAAAAAAGTTGAAGATTTACCAGCACCTAAGAAGATAGCTAGTTCTAGTCACTTGAAGAGATTAACTGGCTTTTTATCAATTATTTGTGGAGTAATATGTTGTGTGGGAAAATGACTTAACCGAAAAAAGAAGAAGGAAATGGAGTGCTAAAAAAACTAAATTTTCCATATCCTTCCTTGATCGAAGCTTATGTCCTGAGGGAGTAATAGCTGAAAGAAACAAATATAAGCGAAGATTGGTTATAAACTTAGTGTTTTAACAAAAAGTGTGTTGTAACATAAAATTAGAGAAGAGTGACTAACATATCAACATAGTCCTCCTTCACTTTTGATCTGGGTGAGGGATCAAATGCCTCTCATGAGAATAAATAGATTATGTACGTTCCTGCGATATATCGGCAGGAACCTCACACGACATTCCTGGTGTCCATCGACATTCTATGTCGCAGAAGAAAGGTTCTTCCTCCTAATGTTTCCTGATCTTCATAGATCTCCATCGAGGGAATGACCGTCCATTTCTGAGAGGTTGCACACTGGACCGCCAGGTTATCAATAACAACCTTTCGCTTACGTTTGACAGCACTTCCTCCACACTGAAGAAAGTGTGTTCAAACGTCCACGGGGTCGTCCACTCGGATCGAAAAACAAACCAAAACCCGTTGGTTATAACTCGGCGGTTAATAATGAAGGAAGCGGTGTCAAACGTCTGTGTGGTCGTCCACAAGGATCGATAACAAAACCAAAACTAAAACCTGTTGGTGATAACTCAGCGGTTAAGAATGAAGGAAGCAGTGTCAAACGTCCGCGTGGTCGTCCACCAAAACCTTTTACTGGTAATTTGGGTGGACGACCACGCGGACGTTTGACACCGCTTCCTTCATTCTTAACCGCCGAATCAACACCAATGGGTTTTGGTTTTGGTTTTCTTATCGATCCTTGTGGACGACCACTGGGATGTTTGACACCACTTCCTTCATTCTTAACCGCCAAGTTATCACCAACGGATTTTCGTTTGTTATTCGATCCGAGTGGACGACCCCGCGGACGTTCGAACACACTTTTTTTAGTGTGAAGGAAGTGATTTCCAACGTAAGCGAAATGTTCTTAACCTGGCCGTCCAGTGTGCAACCTCTCAGAAATGGAGGGTCGTTCCCTCGATGGAGATCTATAAAGAGATCAGGACACATCTGGAGGAAGAACCTTTCTTCTGCGACGTAGCATGTCAATGGAAACCAGGAATGACGTGTGAGGTTCCTGCCCATGGAAACCAGGAAGGATGTGGAAAATTTTCTTTTTCTAGCACTCCATTTCAATCTTCTTCTTTTTTTTTGTTAAGTCATTTTCCCACACAACATATTATTCCACAAATAATTGATATAAAAAGCCAATTAATTAGACCTATTTTTCTGTTTCCTGATCTTGAATAATACTTAGGAATTCCTATAGATACTTGTTAGACCTATCTTAACCACAATTTCACATTTGACTTGAGCTGATAAAGCTGAAATATGACTATGGTGAAAGAGTTTGTGATGAAGTGGTAAGAGCAAAAGAGGAGATAGGGGATCACAATGCAAGTGGTAGCTATGTGATTATGGAGCTTTGGAACTATGAGGAAAACCGGAAGGTCACATTGGAGGAAGCAACAAATGTGATGTTGAAGGTGTGGTCGGATCTTGGGGGTAAGAAGAACAAAAGACAGACGCTTTGAGAGATCTATCTTAAAGAAAAAAAACAAAAGAAGATAAGAGTTTTAAGGAAAAATGGAGAGATTGACTAATGATGAGTTTTTGCCTTGTGAAAAAGGTTGTCTCTCTTTTTAAACTTATTGGTAACAACTATCAACGGTGTTTTGCTTGTACTGAACCTAGTCGCCTGGTTGGTTTCGTCATTAGTCTTTTCTCCAAAATTGAACTTATTGGTATAACTAGGCCCGCGACTTTAGTCCGAACCCGCATCCGACCCGAGTAGGGTTCGGGTTTGCCATAATAACCGATCAGTTCTGATTTAAATTTGAGATCGGGTTCGGTTCGGTTCGGTTTACACCCGATAACCGAATTAGTAACCGAAAACCGATTATTAACACTTGCATAACCTAAAACCTAAAAAAACAACACCACCTCTTCAGACTTTCCTCGAATCCACAACACCACAAAAATCTTCCTTTTGCATCTCTTTGCAATCTCTATCATAATCTTTCTGTCTACCAACAATTGTAAATTGCAACAAGAATCAAAACCCTTTTTTTTTGTATCCTTAGTTTTTTCTTCATCAATCTTGCGACTTGATTGAAGGATGTCTTTCACGAGTGTGAGAGCAGAAGAATCAAATTCCTCTGGACCATGAAGAGGAGAGGCCGGAATAGTGATTGTGAGAGGGAGAAAGCGACGAAGGCGGTACAAGAAGAGATCTGGTTTTAGGTTTAGGGTTTCAGATGTTGCTTGCAATTGTGTCTTCGGCGGAATCGGGTTTTAGGTTTTACATTCAACCCAAAAACCGACCCGAACCTAAACTTTCAAAACCCAAACTTTTAAACCCCAATCCGACCCGAACCCGACCGAATACCCAAATTAAAGTGAAACCAATCATGCTATCTATCTATCGTAATTTTAAAAATCACAGCCCACTTTCCTTTTTTCAATTTGTTTATTTTGGCTTTACAAAGCTAATTTTATACAGTCACTGTTTATTTTTATTACTAGGTATTTTATTACTAGTAACTGCTATTTTCAATTATTGTTTATCGCACGGATTTCGTTTTTATGTTTAGAAACAATATATGAATTTTTTAATTTTTAATTCTTCAAAGTTTCATTGAAACAAATAATTAATATTTAATTATTCAAAGTTTCATTGAAAAAAATAATTAATTTTTTTTCTTTAGATATTTTGAAATTTTCTTTTATAATTATAGTTTCTTATTATTTAATCTCTTTAATTTAAAATTTTAATTAATCATTTTAGTTCTTGTATAACTTGTCACAATAATAAAAGGAATTTTGTTATGATAATTTCTGATTAAAAACATATTACAAACTTTTTCACATTTTCTTGTAAGCATAGAGGGTTGATCACTCGAGAAGTTACATTATTCCCCAAAAGTTTATTGTCCTACTATTTTAGTTGAATATAAATAACGGAATCTCCAATTTTTGGCTGGTGAGTCTGGTTTTTGCCAGCAATGATTTTGCTAGCAATGATTCAGCTTGCCAGTATTGAGGAAATATTTTAGAAAAAATGAAATTGTTTACCTCATTAGAGTTGTTTGTTCAGATTTTCCAGCTGAAATTTATGAGGAGTTTGTTTTCCTTGTTTTTTCCTTTTCTATGAAATTGGAAGAATAAGATGATGTGTAAGAAAATCGGTATAAAATCTACATCATCAAATCGAGTCTCTTCGTCGATTGGGTTATTTTTTCAATTTTTTTAGACATTGCATATATTAATGTTGAAACAACAATACAATACAATACGGAATTGAGATTTGACAGAAATTGAAACATACAAAAACGGAAAAAGAAAAAAAAAGTTTAAGATTTACCAGCACCTAAGAAGATAGCTAGTTCTAGTCACTTGAAGAGATATGGCATTGAAAGCGATCTTGATGAAACTGATAGATCTGAGAAAAGAGAACGATTGAGCAAAATAGAAGAAGCTAGAGAAAAGATTGGAGGCGGCGGCAGCAATAAGAAATAGATTAGTGTAATGGGACAGGAAACCCTAAAACATTTCAACCCCTTAAATAGTGAAAAAAAAAAACAAACGACATAGTTTTGATTTAATTAATGCTAAGAAATACTCTATTCCACTTTGACCCCTTAAATATTATTTTCTTTCCAACTACACCAATACATTACAAACAATATTAATTTTTTTTTTCTAACCATATGATGTATTTCCCATATACACTTATTATACATCTTTCTCTCATTCCCTCTCCCTGTGACCCTTTCCATCTCCCTCTCTCTCATAAACGTAACATATTAAACTATGAATAGCATTTTGGTGCGGTGTTAATTTAGAACTCACATTTTATTTTTCTCTAGTCATTTTCTAACATATTTCTTTCATTTAAATGCTGTATAATTTTTATAAGACTTTTTCATTTTTTACTCAATATTATGTTGCATCTTATACATTTTTTTGCTTTACCCATTTGATGTAAATAAATACTTTGATAAGCTAGTATAAAGAAAAATGTAAAACTAAAATTATGAAATTATAGCTAAACCTATTAAATTAATATATGATAGTTATTATGAAAAATAAAATTTAATAGTAAGAACATGAATAAATTAATTCAATAATTTAAAAATTAACAAATAACATAATGATGTATTATGATTTTAGACATCTTTTGTGATGAGATAGCAGCCTAAGAAAAAAGCTCATTTTACTTTATATATATATATATATATATTATGTCTTGACTAGTGTCTAGAAAAACTAAAAGAAAATAGCTCATTTTATTTTGTATATATATATATATATATAGATTATTGTGTCTTAACTAGTGTTTAGCAAAACTAAAAAAGACAAGCGTTCTAAAACAATTTAAACCAGATTATAGAATTATGTCCCAAGATAGAGATAGCACAGTTAATGGAGTCGACAAAACCACCGGATTTGGAGTAGAATCGAAGTAAGCATCAGTCGGTGATCTTGTAATGAGAAAGCTACACGAAGAGTTTATAATGCCAGAATTTCACCAATGTGAATAGTTCAAGCCTTCAAGACAATGTGTGAAAATGATTTTTATGTAAATATAAAATATAAATTTATTAAGAAAAAATGATTTGTTAGTCACATCTAGGGGTGTCAAAATGGGTAATCCAACCCATCCAACCCATTATCCTAATGGATTGAGTGTTAATGGATCATTGGTTAATCCAATCCATTTAGGAAATGAGTTGATTTGACCCATTACCTATTTAATTAGATGGTTTTAATGGTTAATGGATGAATGGGTTAATGGATCATCCATAAACAAATTTAACTTTTTTTTTTGTTCAAACTCTTAATTCCATAAAATTAAGCTTGGGTGTTACATAAACTAGAGGGAATTAGACATCCTCTTTGAAAACTACCATACAACATAAGAAAATTAAAGCATAAGATAGATAGGTCTTTATGTGACAGCGGATTAAAAGCAAAGCTCAAATGCGTCAGAAGAGAAATCATGGCGGAGCCGGATTGATGTAGCCTAATCACGGTCGAAATGTGATCGAAATGTGACGTTGAAAAACAACTTCTGCCTCCGGAACTCGACGAAGCGAGTCTGGTTGCATCTTCAGGCCTTGTACAGACCACTACGCAAGATGACAAAACGGTGATAATGTTGTAAAACTTACTCGGTATTGTGTCCGAGAAGAGTCCGCTTCTCTCAAAGAAGGGAGGGTATGGAAAAGTTCTCTCCCTATAAAGGGAGGAAGGTGGAAGCGGTCTCTCCATGCCACTGGAGGAGGTTGAGATGTTAAACATACACCACAAAGAAGGGGATGAAAGCATCTCGGCAAGTCGGCTATGGACACCAAGAACATAAGGAAGCTGAAAAGATTCCGTTGATGGGTCGTAGAGGAGCCAGTTTGAGAAAAGACCCTCAATGGTCTGGATGGGCCAGGCCCGTATCAATTGGGCCCAAGGAATAAATGACTGCTGTGCTGGATTGGGAAAAACTTTACTGGGCCGAGCCCAAAATTTGTGCACCCCAATAGACGTTAGAAGCAGATCTGCATCGTTCAGACCGCCATAGCAGAGAACGCCGTCGGAAGAGCCTACGGCGAGGCGAGCAGCATCATCGGAGAGAGATGGTGATTCTGAGAAGAGAACATCGATGATGTGGGGTAGTGGGAGGAGCAAGTCGTCCGAAAGATTTCTGGTTGGAAACACGAACGCAAGCAACGGAGGTTGATAGCCGGATAAATGAAGACAAAGTACGCCGGCGTTCCAAGATTGTCCATCGGAGAAGCCACACCAGGACTGGTTGTCGCCGGAAATCACGCCGGAGTAGAGATCGAGGGCAGCGATGCCGAAGACAGTTGGAAGGGAAAGGTCGGTCGGTGAGAGGGAGGATGGCGGTGGTAGATCAACCATTTTATAAAGTGGGTCAACCATTGATCCAACCCATTATAAACCAAACCATTTCTACCCAATCCAATTAATCCATCATCCATTTGAACCATAAACCCATTTGGATCCAAATTTTTAACCCATTTGGATTAATGAATAAGATGGATTGGGTCAACCCATGGATTTAGATCCATTTTAACCCATTTGTGACTCACATCCTAATTGGCCATAAAAAATTGTTACAACTTTATTGGAAACTAAAACTAATGGCATATTTTATTTATCATATTTTGCATCCAAATAGTTTTTTTTTAGTTTGTTATATTTGATGATAATTACCCATAAAAACATGCAATTACACCATCAAAATTTCATAGTTATTGGACTACTTAACTAATGACATTCAGGTTTTATCTTAACTTCAAGATCGATTTTATAGTGATAGGGCTCGTTTAATTAGTTGTTTCTACTCTTTTTGGAGTTTTGGTCACCTAATGAAGCTCCTAATAGCTTCAGCCAAATGCATTTTATTCTCAATTTATCAACTATCATGCAAAATTTTTCAAAGCGGACCCTTGAATTTTTTATTGTTTCTTCAAGATGCTCTCTCCAATACTCTTATTATGTGAGTTGCTGCACATGGCTTGTATCAGGGCCAATAACAGAGCTGATCTTCTTTTGAGCCATAGGTTGGTCCTTAGGCTTCTCTATTACGCCAGTCCATTATCTTTTTATCAAAGAAAATTTCCTTGCAATACCATGATTATATATAATGCTTTAACCTTTTAAAGCTTTCTGAGTTTCCGTACTGCAAGTTAATATAATCAAACAACACAAGCTAAATTCAATTTTAGGAGAAAAGACCAAACAAGCGACTAGGTTCAATACAAGCAAAACACTGTTCATAGTTGTCTTGTTATTAATAAGTACAAAAAGAGACAAGGACTTTTTTTACAAAGCAAAAACTCATATCATTGTTCCTTAAAACTCTATCTTCTTTTGTTTCTTTCTTTAACATAGATCTCAAAGCCTCTGTCTTTTGTTCTTTTTACCCTCAAGATATGACCACACCTTCAACATCACATCTGTTGCTTCCTCCAATGTGGCTTTCCGGTTTTCCTCATAGTTCCAAAGTCACAAAGCTACCACTTGCATTGTGATCCTCTATCTCCTCTTTTGCTCTTACCACTTCATCACAAACTCTTTCACCATAGTCATATTTCAGCTTTAGCACCTTCTCATCGTCCTTTACCACAATTCTCTACAATTTCACAAATTTGACTTGAGATACTATATAAAAACAGGAAAGATCCCATATTTTGAAAGTTTAAAGTATAGTGTTAAAGTACAAACCTTTGGTGGTCCATCAGACTCAAGGATTTTAAATGGATGCCATTGCACATCTCCGATTTGTGCTTCCCACAATGAACATAACTCCTCTGCTTCAGCTTCAATCTCTGCTCTTGATTTTGAACATCCATGTTCCCTCATCATTGCTGGAAAAAACGTTTCAGGATGTAGTTGCCCTAATCTCTTCACTCTGATATTCTCTCCACTCACCAAATTTTGATTCATATCCCAGAACTGCTCATCAAAGACAAGAAGGACATAAGTTTTTGCTTTGTACCTTAATCATCTCTTTACGAGCAGCTTGATACTCGTCGTTTGTCACATGTTCTTTTAGTGTCAGAGTCTTCACATTTCGCTAGCTGTGAGCTTTATCAGAGATTTGGATATCTTCCTTTTCATTCTACAAAGACAACAACAAAGAAAGTGACATAATTCAGATTTGTTTATATTTTTGGTTTAATTTATATAAAAAGAAAATTCACCATTTCAACATCAAGTCTAGATTTATCAATGACATCTTTGTTTTTGTTTGTTTCCCGCTGCTCGATCTTTGTTTCACGCTCATCTAGCTTCTTCGTCTCTGTCTGAAGCTCTTTCATAGAGTTTTCATACTCTTGTATGACATTATTATACAACTCCATCACATTCATGTCCATCTTCTCAATTCCTTCTCATCAAGAAGAAACACAAAACAAGTCACAAAGATTATATTTTCTTTCAAGTTGTTGTTTTTCACACCTTCTTGATAGGTTCTATGTAGCTGAAGGTTGTGCAACTCCAAACCGTCCAAAACAAGGGAAGCCTCATTGTTTTCATTTTCGAGCACTTCCTTGCGTTTCTCATTCTTCTCAATGGTTTGAGACAAGTAATCAACAAGCTGATTCGTTTGCCTCTTCTCTCCTTCTTCAATCTGTGAGATACTTCTCAAATCTCTTCCCTTCTTAACTTTCGCCCCAACAATCCCCCATGAGTTATAATCTTCCTCTCTCGCAACCCATCCATAGAGTTTCGCACCTCTCGTGTGAATACCTTTCAAATAAAAATAAAACTCAAAAATCTTGAAACTACTCAAAAGAGAGAAACTGTGATGTCAAGAAACACAAACGTAATATATTGATTGCTATTACCATTATTCTTCCAATCTTTCTTCCCATGGCGGTCTTGTTCAAAACTCCGCTCAAATTTGACGGCGTTTTCAAATCCTTGAAAATCTTTGGTGAATTCAACCAAAGCAAAACCAGAATGACCTGCTTTACTCCAAACTGGTTTGACTCTTTTTGGATTAAACCCTTTCTGAGTTAGTTTATCACTTATTCCTGAACAGCTTCTGCCTTCTCTCCTACCGGTTCTCTCATTAACCTCCGTTATGTTGGCTACAACACCGACCCATGGCCACACATAGCTTTCTTCACCGTTTTTCTTCATCTCTGTCGGAAAATCTGCGAGCTTTTAAAAAGAAAAAAAAGATTTTATTTCCCACCAACGATAATCAATCAAACATGATAAATCTAAAGAACAAAGAAATGTTGGATGAGCAAAGAAACTTGCAATAGGTTCTTGTTACTCTAGTGAAAAATCACATGGTATAAATTGGAAGACAGAAATCAGTAAAATTTTGGGTTTTGTTACTTACAACAACACAAGAATCGTCAAAAGGAAGTTGATCTTTTCTTCAAAATGAACAAGTATAAAGGAATTGATTATTTTAGACCTTTCGGTTTCCACAGATATTTTTAAGTCCCATTTAAAAATTATTTATTATCAAGTCCTTTTGGTTTTCGTGTACAAAGTAGAAAGTTTAGAAACTAACCGTTAAAAACAATTGTCTCCGTCTGGTAAATGGACTTGGTCTTAAATGGAAATCAAATGATTTGTTTATCTCAAAAAGTCTGGTAAAAACAATGGGAAAATTGCATTTTTAACCTTTAAAATGACAAAAGTTAACACTTTAAACCTTAGAAGTATTACACTCACACTTTAAACTATTTATATTAACATATAAAACCTCTAAATTAGGTTCGATAAAAGACGATGACGTGTCAATATTTAAAAAATAAAATTATATATATATATATTGTTGCCAAATAATTTTTAATAAAAAATAAAAAAAAATCTTCTTTTTCTCTCTCTTCCTTCTTCTCCCTTTTTCTCCTACGAACTCCACACCAGAATCAAATTTTTTTCAAAAGTTAAATTGTTAAGGAGAAGGATAAGCACATAGAATAACAAAATCGGTGTAGCCAAAACTCAAAATTTGTTTGGCCCAAATTAATTCATACATTTGGATGATAAGGCCATGAAATTGAAGATTTAATTGTAGATCTATCATAGATTCATAGTTGGATAAAAACTAGGGTTAGAAACAAAGCAAATCCGACGACAATTGTAAGAAACGATAAATCGATAGAGAATTAGGCTTCTTCAGTGAAGAACACATTTTCTCCCTTTTTGTTTTTAATCTAGCCTTTGTCAGAATTGATAACCAAAGTCTTATTTCTCGGCCAATTTCGATTTTGAATCTTTACTCTCCCATTAATGATAGTGGCCTTTGAGCTTGAAGAAGGTGAAAGAAGATTAATTCAGAAGGAAATCATTGGGAATTTGGAGATTTACTATGGAGATTTGCTCAGCTGTGTGGGAGGTCTAGATCGCAGAGGAAAGAAGACAGCAGAGGAAACAAGAAGAAAAAGGTTTTTTTTTTTCAATTTATTAATTAAAAAACTAAAATAATTATAACTAAAAAAATGACTGACATGTCATTATTGTTTTTACCGGAAACCGAATATATTTTGGCGGCGCAATTTCCGAAGCTAATTTAGAGATTTGTTATGTAAATATAAATAGTTTAAAGGTTTATAGTGTGAGTGAAATAACATTAAGGTTTAAAGTGCTACTTTTCGTCACTTTGAAGGTTAAAAATGCGATTTTCCCTAAAAACAATTGTCTTCGTCTTAAATTCACGACACCAAAGAATTGTCTCCGTCTCGATAGCATTACAATATTAAAATTTAGTTGATACAATTCATCATTGACTGAGAAATAACTATGTAATGTTATTTAAGATTACCTTATGTTTCTAATAACAGCTGCTAAGGAAATTTTGGACGAGGAAACTAATGTTTTTAACTAAGTATGTAGAAAATATTTAAAATACTAGAAATTTGATCCGCACATTGCGCGGGATTAAAACTATACCAGGTTTTAAACTTTAATATTTTAATTATCTATAATTATTTTTATTTAATTTTAACAATCCTATTATTATACTTATGATTTAAAATATTGGTTCGTATAGTGATTTTAACTCTGAAAATTTCAAAGATAGTTATTTTAACTATCGGCTCTAAACCACACTATTACATAATCCTAAATTTTATAAATATACTTTGAATATTATTTTCCTATACGAACTATCTTTACTTGATTCTTACCCACAATAATTCTATCATTTACACATATTATTCTCGCATATTTCTTTATATAAGCAAACGAACAAAATTTTATACACAAATTTGTAAATAGAAACATTTACTTTCTTTTTTTCTACTGAGAATTTTTATTTAAATCTGAGAATGTGAAGAGGTAAGTGGAATGCAGAAAATGAAAAGTCATAAAACAGTTGAGAAATTGGTATTAAGGGTGTGAGAGAGAGATATTCAACTATTGTAGTATAGACTAGGAATTGTATCCCGCGCTTGCTCGGGGTTGTTTGCATATATTTTAGTTGTTCATCATCATTTATATTATTGTTCATCATCATTTATATATTTTACAAACTGTGCTTCTTAATGTTTTTCCTTTATGTGTTGTTCTGTATATATGATATTGATGTTTATTTATTAAATATTTATACAAACAAAAAAAATTTGAGTGATTTTTTTTTAAATGTTAGAAATAGTCAATACTTTAGTTTTTTTTAACATCAAAATCAATAATTTAGTTTTATATATAACTTATTTTTATTACTTAAATTTAACTGTTAGCTTTCAACAGTTAAACATTTTCCATGAAATTTTATTACATACACTATCTTTTTACATAATATATATTATTATGAATTTTAGACATTTTAAATTTTCAGTACATTTTTTTCTTTTAAAAATAAATCTCTTGCATCTACTGTTAAAAATTAACTTTTAATCTTTTAAATATTAAGTTCAACCAATTTTTATTTATTTTTGTCTTTTATATTTTTATTAATCATTTTTTATACATTTTTATATTTTGGTTGAATAATAAATCATTCAATGATATTATGAAAGTGTATGTATTAATTGAATCATTAATTTTGATTTAATTAATTTGTTTTTTTTTTTGCTGATGTGGACACTCTAAGAGGAGAGAGCAACTCTCTAATTATATATAAGATTAAAATGCACAATCTTAATTAAAATAAAGTAATTCTTTTTTCAAACATTTTGTATCTAAAGCCAAACGACACTTAATTATATTTTGTTTTCAAATATGTCTTACTCTCCGTTTCATAATAAGTGTCATTTAAACAAAATGTATCTGGACAATAATTGGATGTATCTGGACAATAATAAGTGTTGTTTTGTCCAGATACATTGAATTCTCATTTTGCTTAAATGACACTTATTATGAAACGGAGAGAGTGTTTTTAGAACTCGAGCAAAACCAATCCGAATGGAACTTATTTTCTAGAACTCGAAAACCGAATGTCCGGGACTAATCTACAGTTTCAAATAATTCTCAAAAACCTCTATTTAATCATTCTTGTCAATATAGTCTACATTAAGAACACGTTTTATTCCAGTAATACCAAACACAAAAGAAGACTTTCCCTGAATACACAAATAAACTTTAATAATCCGAAAAAACAAAGAAACAAAAAATAGCTAGAAAGATGATATATGACCAACCAGATCGATATGCCGAACCATTCTGTTTAACTGATCTTTCTATTTTCTTGTTGAAGAAGTGATGGCGGGAAGATTTGAAACTAAGGCGGTGGAATATCTTCTCGAAGTTTATCTAGCTTGCATTGTATATTCTTGTACATTATTAGATAAGGATAAACATAGCTTAGAGTGATTTTAAGGACGTAGGCAATTGCGGTAGGAGTTCGCCCTAATCCTCCCAGGCACATGTCCCGAGACATCTCAGCAGCCGCCGTCGACGTGAAGACAGATGGATCTCCGCTGCGCTTCCTCTGCGCTGTGCCTCCTCTCCTGGATGGCCCCTCCTCCGCTACCGCTCCCTTCGACGAGACCTCCTGACGTGAAGCCGTTTCTCCTCTGGTCACTCTCCCTCTCCGATTGTCTCTCGACCGATCCCATGGCATCTCTGAGGACAAGGTGTCCAGATCTATCGGCCACGCCGCCGGAGCTGCTAGTGCCAGAGTGTGAGTCGCCCTTCTCTCTCGGGAAGCCTCCGGATCCACCGGATCCTCCAGATCCGCCTGACGTCGGGGGCTCTCTGTCTCTCACCGCCGCTCCTTGGATCCCTCCACCGTTGTCTCTGCATCTCGCTCTCTCTCACCAGCCGCCAGATCTCTCTCTCCGGTGTGCCTTGTCACCGCTCGGATCTACGTTTCCAGCACCGCCGTCACCGCTCAGATCTACGCTTCCAGCGCCGCCGTTGCCGTCGGTTTGTCCTCTCCATCTGTCTCAGGTTTGCTCGCATCTCCCATGTACTTCTCTGATTCATTATGAGATTAACGGGAACTGGGCAACTTTGATCTTGGAAAGTTCCGATATGCTCCCAACTCTACCGATTTATTCGGTTCTTATCGCCTCTGTGCGATCCCTTACTGTTATATGCAGTCTTGCTCCTAGTTTCACTTTTGTGGTGGATATTTTGAAGTCTTTTTTACCAGATTTGTGGCAATATGGTATGAATTTTCTGGATATGTCTAATCCATTTGTGATCTTGGTTGATTACTCCTTGATGGAGTTTGTGTGTCTCCCAAAATTTCTGCTTGCTTTGAATGGTGTTATTGCAGGGAGTTGGAGTTCGAAAGTTTTAAACACTTCGCTTCATGTAGGCTTAGTAACTCGGTGCTTTGTCGCCAGAGAGTTCACTGCCGTTTCTTTGGTTGCTAAACTTGCACTAGCTGCGTTTTCAACCCCGGGTTTAGGATCATTGAAGGTATCCAAGTATTCCCAAGGCACAACTTCACTTCTTCTTATTAGTCTAAGTGTAGCTTTTGCTCTTATCCATGTTGTCTTTGTTTTCATTCCCGCTTGCAATGCGGTGTTTTTAGCCGGTTTGGCGTTGTTGTCCTGTTCTTGGAACAATTGCTCCTCTAATGGAGAGTAATCATCAATGAAAATTGAACTTGTTTGACAAAAAACATAGCTTAGAGTTTAGCTTTAGCCTGAAATTTCTCTAGGACTAGATTCTCTCTGCTTGTATAAATGTAAGGTTCGAATTCAGATTGAATAACACAGAAATTTCAGCAATCTTGTTGTGCTAAGTTTTACATGGTATCAGAGCCGAGTTTTGGTCAAAACGAAAACTTGCACAATGAGTGGTGAAGACAACAAATCTATTGAACCATCATCAGGTTCATTGATGGGATCAGGATCGACGAAAGTGGTGATGCCGGCATATCAGCTGGCTGCGAATGAAAACCCTGGTGCAGTGATTGCTCAGGTACAGTTTAATGGAGATAATTTTGACGAATGGGCTCAGGCGATAAGATCGGCGCTTCGAGTCAAGAAGAAGTTCGGATTCGTGGAAGGATCCGTGGTGAAACCTTCAGAACTTTCACCGGACTTTGAAGACTGGATGTCTACAAACTCCATGGTGTCGCTTTGGATTCTCAATACACTGGATCCATAGATTAGAAGAACTCTGGCTACCAAGGAGAATCCATACGAGTTGTGGAAGGAAATTAAAGATCGGTTTTCTGAGGGAAACGGACCAAGGATTCAGGAGATCAAAGCACAATTGGCACAACTAAGACAAGGCAATCTTAGTGTGATTGATTACTTTGGAAAGCTCCATATGTTGTGGGAAGATCTCACAAACTATGAGCCTTCACCTCGGTGCACGTGTGGGAGCTGCACCTGCAACCTGAATGGAGAGATTGAGAAGAAGAGAGAAGATGATCATATCCATCACTTTCTTTTGGGACTTGATGATGCGATGTATAGAGCAGTGAGAGCCTCAATAATCAGTTCGGATCCTCTCCCGAATATGAATCAGGTCTATCCAAAGGTGAAGTCAGTGGAGAGAATTGAGACAGTGACAAGAGCCAGAGAGAGTCAGAGCTCGCAGGTGGCGTTTGCTACTCAGACTAGAACCACTGGATCTCTTGGCGTGGAAGACAAGAAAAAGCTTGTTTGTACAAGCTGTAAGAGGAACGGTCACACGGCCGAGACTTGCTTCGAGTTGATCGGTTTTCCAACCTGGTGGGGCGAAAGGCCACGACCAGCTGGACGCGGAGGAGAAGCAGGTCGCGGAGTGGGACGTGGACGTGGAGGAATGGTGCGTGCTAAAGTTGCCATGGTGAATGCTCCGGATGAGACAAGTGGAGACACAGGATCGCGTCTCAATGGTAAGTAATTTCTGTCTGATTGGGTTCTTGATACAGGGGCATCTAATCATATGACAGGAGACAGAGATTTTCTGTTAGAACACAAGTATGTGTTGCCATGTTCTGTTGGTTTGCCAAATGGAACTCAGAGTTTGAGTAGGGAGAAAGGAACAGTTGTTTTTGATGAAGAGTTTAAACTGAAAAACGTGTTTGTGCCTGGTTTGAAATGCAATCTGATTTCAGTTTCGCAGCTTATTGAGGACTTAGATATGGTTATGCACATTGCTAACAAAGGATTTGTGATTCAGGACCGTACAACAAGGAGCCTGAGTGGAGTGGGGGAGCTTAGAGATGGGCTCTACTTCATTCGTCGCTTAACAAGATTTAATGCTTTCCGGTTGAATAAGGACGAGGCTGAAGATGTTTGGCATTAGAGGCTAGGACATCCGTCCAATGGTGTTTTTGGTTTACTTCCTGCTGTTGGCAGTAGGACTTAGGATTTTTCTACTTGTGGCACTTGCCTTAAAGCAAAACAATGTAGAGACATGTTTCATTCTTCTAATAATAAAAGCGACGATATTTTTGAAATGATTCATGTTGATCTATGGGGACCTTATCGAACTGCAAGTCTCTGTAATTGTTATTACTTCCTCACTATAGTCGATGACTATTCGAGAGCTGTTTGGGTTTATCTGCTTCAGAATAAGGCACAAGTAGGGAAGATACTGAAAGAGTTCATGGCTATGGTAAGCCGACAGTTTGACAAGAATGTCAAGATAGTACGGTCAGATAATGGAACATAGTTTACTTGTTTGAGCAGTGAGTTTCGCGAGTTAGGAATCATGCATCAGACTTCATGTGTGGGAACTCCACAACAGAATGGCAAGAGTAGAGAGAAAGCATTGACACATATTGAATGTAGCACGTGCTGTTCTGTTTCAGTCTTTTCTTCCGACTAAGTTTTGGGGAGAAAGTGTCTTGGCAGTAGCTCATCTGATTAACAAGACACCTTCCAAATTGCTGAAAGGGAAGACGCCATTTGAGTTAATACATGGAAGAGAACCTGAGTACGATAATTTGAAAGTTTTTGGTTGTTTAGCGTTCGCACACAAACAAAAACGGAGTGGAAACAAATTTGACTCGTGAAGCAGAAAATGTGTTTTCATTGGATATCCTTTTGGGAAGAAAGGATGGAGTCTGTTTGATTTGGAAACAGAGGAAATTTTTGTTTCTCGTGATGTAGTATTCGTGGAGAATATGTTTCCATTTGCAGAGATATCTTGTGAGAATCACAAGTCGGATTGGACAGCTATGGGAGATTTTGATCTCGATATTGACGAGGAATCAGTTCCACACAAGAACATTGATTCACCGATCGTTATTGCTGAGAAGAGAGGAAACATTGGTTCCCCGGCGTGTGTAGCTGAGACAGCTACTAAGGAACTTGTTACAAAAGCAGAAGAGGCTGCAGATTTAGGTATTGTCAATACACGTATCATTGAGAAATCAGACGTTGAGAAAGTCTCGGTGGAAGAACCGTTGGTTACTCCGGCAGAAGTGGAGCTTGGACGTGGTTGTCGAGAAAAACAAGTTTCCACTCGGTTGAAGGATTTTGTACTTAATACGATTGTGGATCCAGATGATCAAACTGAGGTGACAGTGGAATTTGAAGACGGTGTCGAAGGAGAATTTCCGTTGTCTCATTACTTGGATAGCAGCAAATTCTCTCCGAGTCATAGAGCGTTTTTGGCTGCTATCACTGCTGAAACAGAACCTACTCTGTTTCGTGATGCCGTAGTGTATGAGGTTTGGAGAGGTGCGATGAAGCTTGAGATTGATGCTTTAGAGGAGAACCAAACATGGGAGTTGGTGAAGCTTCCGCCGGGAAAGAGAGCCATTGGATGCAAATGGGTCTATAAAATAAAGTATCGTGCTGACGGATCGATTGAGAGATATAAGGCGCGACTTGTTGTGTTAGGAAACAGACAAGAGGAAGATGTTGATTTTAAGGAAACATTCGCTCCTGTCATCAAGATGATGTTCGTGTGTTTTTGAGAATAGCCGCAGCTAAGAAGTGGGAACTTCATCAGATGGATGTGCATAATGCGTTTCTCCATGGTGATTTGGATGAGGAGGTTTACATGAAACCACCTCCTGGTTTCAAAACTGATGATCCAACGCTTGTGTGTCGCTTGAGGAAATCTTTATATGGTCTGAAGCAAGCGCCAAGGTGTTGGTTTTCAAAGCTGAGAGATGCTCTTGTCAAGTATGGTTTTGCTCAGTCCTACTCAGATTATTCACTCTTCTCGCGGACAAGGGGATCATCGGAGTTGTATGTCTTGGTTTATGTGGATGATTTGATTATTGGTGGCAATGATCCCGCTGCCATTAAGGAGTTTAAAGCTTACTTGAGTGTTTGCTTTCACATGAAATATTTGGGGAAGTTGAAGTATTTTCTCGGCATCAAAGTGGCTCGGAACCAGAAGGTATATTTTTGTGCCAACGCAAGTACACACTTGATATTATCACTGAAGCAGGGATGTTGGGTTCCAAGCCAGCCACGTTTCCCATTGAGCAACAACATAAGTTGGCAATAGCGGAGGGTCCGTTGCTTAGTGATCCAGAGAGGTATCGGAGGTTAGTTGGTCGGTTGATCTATCTTGCTGCCACGCGTCCTGATTTGGCATATACGGTGCATATATTGTCACAGTTCATGCAGTCGCCTCGCACCGATCACTGGAAGGCGGCATTGCGAGCTGTAAGATACTTAAAGGGGACGCCTGGACAAGGGATTCTTTTGAAGTCGGATAGTGACTTTCAGATACATGGATGGTATGATTCGGATTGGGAAGGTTGTCCTTTGACAAGGAAATCTGTGAGTGGCTGGTTTGTCACTCTTGGCTCGTCACCGGTGTCTTGGAAGACGAAGAAACAAGAAGTTGTGTCTCATTTTTCGGCGGAGGCAGAGTATCGGTGTATGTCGAAAACTTTACGCGAGTTGCAGTGGTTGCGACGCATACTTGAAGATCTTGGTGTTGCTCATGACACTCCTATGGACATGTATTGTGACAATCAGGCAGCGCTCTACATCGCTGCTAATCCTGTCTTTCATGAGCGCACCAAACATATTGAGCGGGAATGTCATAGTGTTAGTGACGCTGTGCTCAACAAGACCATCGTCACAAACAAGGTCAAGACAACGGAACAACTTGCGGATATCTTTACTAAGGGTCTTGGCCGATGGGAGTTCGAGAGTATCATGTCCAAGTTGGGAACATGTAACTTACACGCTCCAACTTGAGGGGGGGGTGTTGAAGAAGTGATGGCGGGAAGATTTGAAACTAAGGCGGTGGAATATCTTCTCGAAGTTTATCTAGCTTGCATTGTATATTCTTGTACATTATTAGATAAGGATAAACATAGCTTAGAGTTTAGCTTTAGCCTGAAATTTCTCTAGGACTAGATTCTCTCTGGTTGTATAAATGTAAGCTCCGAATTCAGATTGAATAACACAGAAATTTCACCAATCTGGTTGTGCTAAGTTTTACATTTCTCTTTAAGAACTTTCATCCTCTCTCGGATTGCTTCTCCTTCATTTCCCAAGAACAAGCTCCTTATTGCTCTCTCGATCTCGTTTCTCTCGATCCGATTCTCAAGATGCATCCCGACCCTCCACACCTCACTAACAAATCTTGCATTTAAGAATTGGTCCCATATAAAAGGCAAACAGATCATAGGGACTCCTTCACAAACACTCTCAACAACCGAGTTCCAACCATTATGTGTGAAGAATCCTCCGACGGCTCGATGCTTTAGAACCTCTTGTTGTGGTGCCCATTTCACTATTTTTCCTTTCTCGTTAAGCCTCTCCAAGAGTTCTTGTGGGATTGTGCCATTGACCAAACCAACCCGTACGACCAACAAGAAAGGTTGGTCGCTGTTACTTAAGCCCCAAGCAATCTCAATTAACTCTGTTCTGCTCATTTTCGCGAGGCTACCGAAACTCACGTAAATAACGGATTTGTCTTGTTGTTTGTCTAACCATGGAATGCAAGTCTCGTCCTGTGTGAACAAGCTACTAGACGAGGCTGGAAAGTTGCTATGAGAAGGACCTATTGCAAACATAGGAAGTTTGAAATCTTCACGTGCGTGACTCAATGAGTCTTGCTCCAACTCTTCACAGGACATGGATATAATACCGGAAGACGACTTTGTCGTTTGGAAAATAGTATTCAAGTATGGCTCTAGTAGCTCTCTTTTTTCACCAAGAATCCGTAAAATGTCTTTCTTTCGAAGTGGCGGAAACTCCTGAGCTAGATCATCTTTTTCGGAATCTGTTAACGAATTGTGATAAAAAAACAAATTACCACAATTCAGACAAAAATAATGGAAAATCATATGACTAGAAGGTAAATCTAATTCAAAGAAATGGAACAATCGATATTGGTTAAGATTTCACATGTGAATCAATCAGATAGTAAACCTTTTTACCAAAGAAAAAAAAGTGTCAATCAATCAGATTTTCAACATAATTAAATATTTCCCCCTAATTTGATAAATTATAAAAAAAGGAAAATATAAAGTATGATTAAAATAATATATATCATGTAAATAAAAATATGAAAATTAATTCGTTGAAGATTTGGGAAAAAAAGAAAAACAGATGTATGAATATAACCAAATAAAAAAACAATTAATCCAAGTATGAATATGAAAAATAAAGTATTAAGAACATGTATTAAAATTAAATTGAAAACCAAAATAATAATTAAAAATAAGATAACTAAAATCAATAAATATCAATATGTTAGACTTTTCAATCCTGCTTTTTTATTGATGGCTCAATATAATTTTTTCTTTGGTTTTTGCTCAACATAAATAGTAAAGTTAGAAATAACAGTACCTTGCAGCAGAAGATACTCTTCACAAGAACAAAATGAACCCATTAAGAACCAATCTAGGGAGTTTCAAACTCTTGGCTACAGATTCTGTGAAGATCCATCCAGAATCATGGATCAAACAGCTAATCTTCTCTTTCTTTTCCTCTGTCTCTGAATCTAAAGACTGCAAAAGTTTAGTCAAACAGTCACGAAACAGAGTCACACATCCTCGGTTGAGAAGAGCAAAGTGTTGTCGTCAGTTCTTGTCTCTGTTTCAGACAAGCCGTCTTGGATCTATAAGAAGGTGAAGAAAGGATGGCTTGAAGCTTTTGGCGCGTTGAAACGCATGTGTATCGAAGTGATGGAGAAACCTCTTGAGTGGAGGGTTTGTGTTTTTGTTCGTTCTAGTGGAGGTAAATAATTTCAATTTTTCTAAAAAAATCTTCAATATTTTTATATCCTTCATGTGTTGTATAAAATCGAAAAGTTTTGTGTTTTTGTTCATTCTAGTGAAAAAATATAGTTTTTTTAGGGATTTTGTCTATTTTCAGGAACTGCAATTATTAGTTATGTAAAATGTTTTATTTTTTTAGTTGATTTATCGTTAGAAAAGCTCATTTCTAATTCCAATTAGTGAAAGGCTTAACCCACCAGTGAGATGAGATTTGAAAAGTATCTCACATATTGAAGAAGTAGAGAAGAGGAGAATGAATCAGCTCATCGATAACATGTCTCAATCCATTGAGAGGAATGAGAAATGCAAGCAAGTGCTCGAACACGAGCATAATGAGGCTTCTCTTGTTTTGGAGGGTATGAAATTGCCCAACCTTCAGCAACATAGAACCTACAAAGAAGGTGAGAAAAAAAAACTTAAAAGAATATAATCTTTTATGTTTAATTTCTTGCTCACTTGTTTTGTGTTTCTTCTTGATGAGAAGAAATTCAAAAGATGGACGTGAATGTGATAGAGTTGTGTAGGAATATTATACAAGCGCATGAAAACTCTATGAAAGAGCTTGAGGCAGAGAGGAAGAACCTAGATGAGCGTGAAAGAAAGATCACAAACAAAAATAAAGATGTCATGGGAAAATCCAGACTTGAAATGGTGATTTTTCATTCTATCTATACTAGGAGAGGCACAAAATAAGGATTCAACCTTCAAAAGAGCCTATCCCTGTTTCCAAACACTCCTAAACCCGGAATTAACACATAAATTAAAAAAACCCGACCCATCTATGAAAAACAACACGCGGATCCTTCCAAGTCTAACTTAAATCAAACCGGAGAAACACTTCAATTTTCGGGTGTCAAAAATCCAAATAACCGGAGGCGAATCAAATAACCGGGTATTAATGACTTGGGTTGGGTTCGTTAGGGAATCAATGAACGAAAAATCTGCAAAAGAATTCCAAAAATATCGTTAATTAATTGTGCATTGAATATGCAGAATCAACAATATCACTAACAAAATTGGAAAATTCAAATTTTAGAGTGTTTCACGGATAATCTCAACTTAGTTTAAAAATTCGTGCCATTAATTCTTATGTTCAAAGAGATTTGATTAGATACTCTTATATTATATTTTCCTAAATTTCGGAAACTACCAAGTTTAAGCTTTCATCAAATCAAATCTTTAACCTAATCGTTTTAGTATAAATAGACCTCCCTCTAGAGCCTACCAAAAACAAAAAGAAGCAGAGCATAAAACTATCTTTGATTCAATTTTAATGGCGGCTTATTTTTGTTTAACATACCTTGATGCCTTTTTTTTTCAGGTGGACGAGTCCATACACGAATCCAAGTCAAGCTTCTTCATGTTTGGAAGCAATACACGGCAGAGGCTGGACATACATTGGAGATGATTCTGACAGACAAAAATGTAAGATTAGGTTATAAGAATCTAAAGTCAAACATGCTTAATCTCTTTATAAACTATATTATGTTAAAGATGGTTATTGTGTGCTCCAAACTACAACTAACAATGTGTTTTTGTTTTTTTGTTTGATTGTGACTAGAATCTGATGAGTAGCTGAATTGGCATGATTGTCACGATGCAAGGTTTGTAAATTTTTAATCACCATTGACCCTTGAATACTTCAATATACTAATATTTATTAGATGCTAATCCTTCTCTTAATGTTGAGAATCCAAGTTAATTGTCTTCATTCTTGAAAGAAATTAAAGTGTGGGTCAGGTACAACATTGGAGATAAACGTCATCATTTGTGGGTTAATACATGCTTACAATTTCTAATATAGAATCAAGTATGTTTTGTAGGCTATGAAAATATATGCTTCATGTAACAAAACATACCTTAACTTCCTGTTGGCGAGTGGGCATCGAGACAATACAGACCAACTCACCATGTTAACAAGATACCGTTGTGTCTGATTTAAATTTCACAATAAGAAACGTAACACATGGCAAAGGCAAATGAAAAGAGAAACAAACGAAGACTGCATAATAGAAAAATAGCATAATGACTCATGATTAATGATAATGAACAAAGAGGGAATTTTCATCCTACTAAGTACTAAGATATCGAGAAATTCTCAGACCAAAAAAGTTTAGCAAAAGAACATATGAGAAAATCAGTACTATTAAAAACGAAACACTTAAGACACATCGAGATCATTGTTATAAGAGGAAAATTTCTCTCCATAAGCATCATCAGGCTCAATACCGAAGACATCAAACATCAAGATTTAAGACATAGCCAAGTATGAAGTAACAAAGAAAAAAAAAACAGAAAGATGAAGAAAAGCTGAAATAGCGCAAGCAGCAAATAAAAAAAAAATCAAACTCGCATATTAAAGTTCGATAACAAGAATCTATCACACAAACAAACACAGAAAAATCATTTTCAGAAAAGACAAAGAAAATGGTTTTTTATTTTCAAAGCATCAATCACATTACGAGCACATAAATAGCTAACTAAAAACTACAATCAGTGAGAGATAAACACACACCAACAATCTAAACCATCTTAACTAGGGATAAATAAATCAATGCATAGCCAAATTTATAACATACCTTTCTCTCCATGAGAAGAATCAGAGGTTGCGCTACATGGTGCGAAACCCAGACGAATCATGACTCTATTGCCGAGGTCCTTGGCAACATAAGGTACCTCCGACGGAGAAGAAACTGAGAGCCGCCTGTTGCTCAAACCAGAACCTGCAATTTGTCAAAGAGAGAAGAGGAAACTTGTGCCGTCTTATTCCAACTCAATGTGTTTATATACATTATACATTGTTAAGATAAACCCTAGGCTAAACTCTAGTAAAGGAAAGTTAACATATTCTAAGATACATTGATGATATTTACATATAGCTCCCTAATACTCCCCCTCAAGTTGGAGCATGGAGATCACGAATGCCCAACTTGCGCCGAAGATATGCAAACTGTTGAGACGCCAAAGCCTTAGTGAATATATCCGCAAGCTGTTCGGTGGTGCGAAGATGAAATGTAGCTATTGAGCCTCTGACGATCTCATCGCGAATGAAATGGCAGTCTCTTTCTATATGTTTTGTGTGCTCGTGAAAAACGGGATTAGCCGCAATGTACAACGCCGCCTTGTTGTCACAGTAGAGATGCATCGCCTGCTTGTGAGAGATACCGAAGCAAGATAACAATTCGCGATTCCACTTGATCTCTCTAGTAGTAAACCCCATCGCTCTATACTCAGCCTCCGCAGAAGAAAAAGACACTATGTCTTGTTTCTTTGTCTTCCAAGCAATGGGGGAATCTCCTAACATGACGATAAATCCAGTTAAGGAACGACGTGTCATGGGACAGGCATTATAATCAGAGTCACAATATGCCTTGATTTGGAAGTCATCAGCAGAACTCAACATGATTCCTTGTCCTGGACAACCTTTAAGATACCGAACTACTCGTATAGCAGCCTCCCAATGCTTGATATGAGGTTGTTGCATGAATTGTGCTAACATATGCACCGCGTAAGACAACTCGGGACGAGTGTGAGTAAGATACACGAATCGACCAACCAGTCTCCTATAACGAAGTGGATCGTTATAGTAATCTCCCGTATCTTTAGCCAAATTATGATTTTGTTCCATTGGTGTTTTAACCGGCTGACAACCCAATAAGCCACACTCCTTGACTATATCCAACGCATACTTTCTCTGCGATAAGTATATACCTTCCGGTGCCCGCGAGACTTCAATGCCAAGAAAATATTTCACAAGCCCCAAATCCTTCATCTTAAAGCACTGACTTAAGTAACCCTTAAACTTGACTATGGCATCCGGATCAGTTCCTCCAATCAACAAATCATCAACATATATGAGAACATAAAGTCTCATATCTCCACGAGTGAGTGTAAACAACGAGTAATCAGAAATATTCTGAACAAAACCATACCCTTTAAGAGCCGCAGTAAGTTTAGCAAACCAGCATCGTGGAGATTGACGAACGCCATACAACGACTTGCGTAATTTACATACCTTTGATTTGTCACCACAGTCAAAGCCAGGTGGTAACTTCATGTATACTTCTTCTTCAAGATCACCATGCAAAAATGCATTGTGTACATCCATTTGGTGAACTTCCCATCCTTTCACCACAGATATTTTGAGAAACATTCGAACGGTTGTCATCTTAATCACAGGTGCAAACGTCTCATCATAATCAATCCCTTCTTCCTGTCGATTCCCATAAGCTACCAACCTTGCTTTATATCTCTCAACCTTCCCCGTTGACTGATATTTGATTGTGAAAATCCAATGACACCCAATCGCCTTCTTCCCAGGCGGCAAATCAGTGATATCCCAAGTTTGTTCTCTCTCCAAGGCTCCCACTTCACCTGATACAGCATTCCTCCATCGTGGATCTTTCATCGCTTCACGAAAAGATGTAGGCTCACTCTCAGCAGTTATAGCCGCCAGAAAAGCTCTATGAGATGGTGAAAATCGATCACAGTTCACATAATTAGCTATGGGATATGGGATCATACCTTTAGTCGAAGACGCTTGTGGAGGCGAGTTTGAAGAGAGAGGAGAGTGGGTCATTGGAGCATTGTGTAGTATACAGCACAAAACCATCAAGACGAGTGGACGTAGTACGTTCTCTTCCACTACGACGTACCGGAACTATCTCTTGTTCAGGCATGCCCTGCTCATCAGGCCGATGATCATCATGATCTTCTTCATCAGACTGGACGACAATCTCTTCGATTGGTCCGCTCCCCCTTTCGTCCAAATGTGGTACAACAAGTTCTTTTCCTAACTCAATGAAATCATCATCATGTATACTTACTTGTTGTTGCTGCCTTGGCATGTCGTCATTCTGTTTTATCACGGAAGCGAATGGAAATACAGTTTCTTCGAAGACACATCCCTTGACACAAAAAAACTCTTGTTTCTCGATATCCCATACTCTCCATCCTTTTTGGCCAAAAGGGTAGCCCATAAATACGCACCTTCTGCTTCTTTCCCCGAACTTGTCCTTATCACGCAAGATATTTCTAGCATGACACAAACTCCCAAATACTTTAAGAGTAGTGTAACTCGGGGCTACTCCATGCAAGATTTCAAACGGAGTCTTCCCATTAAGTAAGGTAGATGGAGTGCGATTGATAAGATGGCAAGCTGTGAGTACACACTCTCCCCAAAAACGAATTGGCAAGCTTGCTTGAAACATTAACGAGCGAGACACATTCAATATATGTCTATGTTTCCTCTCCACACACCCATTTTGTTGTGGTGTGTACACACAACTTGTTTGATGCAATATACCTTCCTCTGCAAAGTATGGTTTCATACACATAAACTCTCCACCATTATCACTACGAACGACTCGGACCTTTTTGTTGAATTGTCGTTCCACCATCTTAAAAAAATTCTTCAAATTTTCAGCAACTTCTCTCTTTTCTTGCAACAAATAAACCCAGACAGCTCTTGAGCAATCATCTACTATGGTAAGAAAATAAGCAGATCCAGAAGTAGAGAGAGTTCTATAGGCTCCCCACACATCACAATGAATCAAATCAAATACTCCAATAGCTTTATTAGAACTCTCATGAAAGCAGTCTCGGGTTTGTTTAGCCCGCAAACAAATCTCACAAACTGGTTTTGAATCAACATGTTTTTCAAACTCCAAATCACTAGATAAATAAGATAAGACACGACTTGACGGATGACCAAGTCGTCGATGCCACAAATCACACGATCCTGAGATAGTAGTCTTGTTTGCCTTTGCACCCATCACTCCTCGAAACACGTATTCTCCCCCTCTCTCTTCACCCGCTCCAATCAGCATCTTCGAGGTACGGTCCTGAAAAAAACATAGTTTATCAGTGAATGTGATCGATCCTTTTACCACTTTAAGCAACTTAGCAACAGAATCAGTGAACATGTTAATTCTTTCGAATAAAATACACCTCTAAGCCACATATTTCCACCAAGACATAGATCTCCTTGTTTTGTCGCCACTGCCGCATCACCATCAGGCAATATGACATGGGTGTATATCCGTCACATTAGATAAAAGATCAAGATCCCATGTCATATGGTGCGATGCTCCTGTATCAATAATGAATTCCCCACATTCTGTCTTACCATTCAATTTGTCGTTCTTTTCTTTTTTCTTGGTTCCAAGAAAACTCAGGAGTGCAGTCCATTGATCATCACTTAGTTGAGGAAGAGATGCTCTATCGTAGTTTTTTTATTGTCTCACAAGGTTCGCTTGCACACCTTCTTGGCTTTGTACTTGTGCTGCATAGCCACGTCCAGAGGAGTTTGTTATGGCTCCTCTACCACCACCTGAACGGCCAGCAACTCCACCTCCTCTTCCGAACCTTCCTCGACCACCTCCTCCTCTACCTCTTTCAGCAAAATCACGTCCTCGCTCTCCCCACCATTCTGGATAACCCTTGAGCTGGAAACAATCTGACTGTGCATGTCCATACTTCCCACAATGTGTGCATGTCACATCTTTCTCACGTTGTTGAAAGTAGGGTTTGTTTCCAGCGTTAACATTTGCCGAGAACCCAACAATCTCCGTCGAAGCATCATTGTGCCTCGTCATCGTCTGTTGTCTATCCTCACGCACAATGCGTTGATAAACTTGGGACAACTTTGGGAGTGGCTCAATACTCTGTATTGTTGATCGAACAACTCCAAATTTGTCCGAGTTCAATCCAGTTAAGAAAGTGTTGGTCCTTTCCTCTTCACGATCCTCCTCCAACAGGGCCTTAATCTCACCACACGAACATGTCCGTATTGGTTTGTATATAGCCAATTCATCCCACATCTTCTTTAGTTTCCCAAAGTAGACCACCACTGAATCCCCTTGTTGCCTACAGTTCGCTATCTCCGCACGTAGCTCGCTAACGCGCGGTCCGTTCCCGGCCGAGAATTGGAGCTTCAAATCTTCCCATAGCTCATAAGCTTCATCCACCATTGAGATTGAAACCCTAAGGTTTGATTCAATCGTGTTCATAATCCACGCAACAAGCATGGAGTTCACAACCTCCCATTGTTCTATCTCTTCATCCGAGTCTGGTTTTGTCAAGGTTCCATCGATGAACCCTAACTTTCTCTTGGTGCGCAAGGCATTCCGCACATGCTTAGCCCAATCTTCATAGTTCTCTCCTTTGAGTTGCACCGTCGTTATCAAGTTTCCTGGCCCATCAGATGGATGAAGATAAAAGGGAGACAAGCTCGATATCATCCCCTTATCAGCCACCACCATGTCTTTGTTGCCGTCTTCCGCAGTCAACGCGTTCCCGTTCCCGCCTTCCGCAGGTATCACTACGTCCTTGCCACTGCCTCCTGCAGGTCCGTTCTTCCCCATGATCTTTTAATAGACTTGGTTATTCGAATTCTCTAGGATCTTTGCTCTGATACCATGTCAAAGAGAGAAGAGAAAACTTGTGCCGTCTTATTCCAACTCAATGTGTTTATATACATTGTACATTGTTAAGATAAACCCTAGGCTAAACTCTAGTAAAGGAAAGTTAACATATTCTAAGATACATTGATGATATTTACATATAGCTCCCTAATACAATTCCTGTTTCAAAAGACAAAAATTAGAAGCGGAATCGACAAGAAACTAAAGGTTGTTTCGGAAGATAGATTGAGAATGAGGTTAAGGCAACTACCTCCATTTTTCCCAAAGCCTGGGGAGTCCCATTTCGAGCTTCGCCGGAAGCTAAGAAGAAACATAAACAGGGTATGAGTTCTCTGATTTCGCATGCAAGGAGCAATCGAAAGATTGCTTCGGGAAAAGGAAATGGCTGCATTGGCTGGAGGTCGGAGTCGCAAGGGCCAAGGCTGCTGGAGATAGATCCGCTTATGATTTCTCCCTCAGCTCATGCACAATACACAAAACACAATCACATGAGCCAATAAAAAAACCCAGTAAACCCATTTCAACCAATCCGCAAATCCACTGAAACCCATTTCAACAAAATTGCAAAATCTTAAATCAACTGAAAACTCACTTGATTGCCGAGCTTCACCGAGAAGAGAGAAGAGCTTAAGAATCGACGGTGGTGGAGAGAAGTGTAAGAATCGACGGTGGTGGGGAGGAGAGAAGACGGTGGTGGAGAGGAGTGAAGACGGTGAGTCGAAGCTATATCTGATTTTTCACCGATGGAAAAAAAACTCGAGGAAGAAGAAACTAAACGGTGTCGTTTTAGCATAAAGAAAGAACAGGAGTGATAATGGTCAAAATTTGTTTTTTTTGGCTTTGATATGTCTCATATGAGAAAAAAAGATGGATCTAATCAAAAATTGAAAATTTGTGATCTTGACTTTAACATGTCTCATGAACAAATTTAAAAATGAAGAGAAAAAAAAAAGGATCTACAAACAAGAGTATCATTTTCTTGACCTAAATTACCAATTTTTCTTTTTTTAAAATGAGCTTTACACTAACACAAAAAATAATGCCAATGGAGACGATTTAGATCTCTTTAATAAAAAATGTCAAAACAATATATAATCTTAGAAATCTAATATTCACAAATTTAACTAACTCAAAGGTTAGTAACATCACGGGTTAGCGCAACATTCTTTTAGATCCGGGTCTTTTCGGAAAAACATAAAGAAAGAACATGACCGATAAAGGTAAAAATTTGTAATATTGACTTTAATATATGTCTCATAGACAAATTTATAAATGAAAGGAAAGAAGTAAATATTGGATTTACAAACAAAAATTTATATGATATCAAATTGAGAATATATTATTTTAAGTGGTCAAGGAGACTTACTAGACTTATTATAAGTTTCTTTTTCTTTTTTTTTTCATTTTAATTGTACAGAACTACATATTAAATTATTTGATGAAAAATTATTGTTTATTAATGAAACAGCTGATTCGATGGATTCGCCAAATTAATTTCATATCAAAAGACTAGATATCGAATCGAATTGGGATTTGATTTCTCTCATTCCCCCAAGTTGTGCGACTTTTCGTCTTGCGCAAGATGTTAAACAAACGGTGTGGATGCCACAAATGCTGATGTTAATTTTATGGATAGAAAACATGCGAAATGAACTTATCCGTTTTAGGGCATACTCGAGAAGAATTATTACAATCCAAATATTTACCACTTATTTTATCACTTTTCGTCTTATTATTGATTCAATCATTTATTTAATCCTAAACTAAAATTAACACCGAATAACTGTGTAACTCAAAAAACTAAAATCTTCAAAAATTATAACATCTCGTGCTTCTCAAGCCAATTATTAAGTTAATTATGTAAATAAACTCAACAGAAATTGCAACAACCCGTGCTTCCGAAGCACGGGTCAGGATCAAGACTTGAAATGGTGATTTTTCATTCTATATAAATTAAAAAAAAAACACATTTGTGTGGGAAGTCTATCAGTTGGCCCAATTGGTTTACATGGTAATCAGATGCAGGAGGCCTGATTACCCCTTGACATTAGTCGAAAAGCACTCCAACCTCGGGACAGGCAGGGTGGTAGCCCAAATTTGGATCTCATGACTTGTGTCCGTTGAACCGTTGAACCACGGGAAGAGTCCACTTTGTAGCACATCGGTGTGTTTCTACCGGGGCTGACCGGAAGCCGATAGGATCTATCAAAAAAAAACATAAGATAAATCAAATCTGAAATTGGTCACTTTTTCTGGCTGTTTTTGAAGAATGAAAAGGCTATGTTGGAGCAGAATGAGGAAGCTATGAAACTCGCAGAGAAAAGCACCAGGCAAGACAGTTTTTTTCATAACCTTATGTGTTACATGATAATAATAATAATTTAATTTTTCACACACACAAAGGTGGCTGAGTAGAACTATTACGGCCCTGTTCTTTTGGGAATCGCTGCGATTGAGGCTGCGACTGAACTTCCTTTACAATTTAACTCTTCATCGATGCTGGGTTGAAAAGGATGAATCGCAGCGACCGAAAAAATCAAAGGAATCCGGTGACCTCCGAGTCGCAAGAGAAAACCAGCGGCACCTCTGCTCTTCACTCTCCCCTGCAATCAAAAACTCTGGGACTCTTTTCCTCTCTTTTCTGTACATTTCCTTTTAATTTTACTAATAAAATTCTGTCGCAGCCGCAGTCACGGCGATTTTCAAACGAACATGGCCTACATCTAAAATTATTCATCCACAATATTAATTATGACGCTAATATTAAGCTACTTTTAGTCTTAACTAGTCGTTAGAGTAGACTAAGAGCGAACAAAATTCAGCAATTAAGTACATGAAAACTGAGTTCACATGAATTACAAATGGTTTGATTTTGTACGCTAGTTCAATATAATTTGATGTAGAGATATAAAATTCTTGAAAACTGGTAAACTTGGATGGTTCTGCGTATATTCAACTCCTGATAGTTTATAAAAAACATTAAAATTTTTGTAGAAAGAGAAGGAGAATCTTTATAACGCCTAGACCGCTCATCCCGATGAGTCACCCATGCCCTCTTTCGGCCCGTGGGTCCCACCCCTTTTCGCGGCCGGTTTGTTATTTTTAAGAGGCTCTAGAGATTTGTTTATTGTCTCTCCAATCAACACCTGTTATTGATGAGCAGTTTTGGAATATGAATAAAAAATTGATGACAGGAGAATATCATTTATTTATTAAAAAAATTTAGTGGGTAAGAGGATTAAATGGTGTATTTTGTTAATAGCTTGGAGGAATAAAAACATGACTATTGCTTTCCAATTGGCTGTTTTTGCATTAATTATTACTTCATCAATCTTACTGATTAGTGTACCCGTTGTATTTGCGTCTCCTGATGGTTGGTCGAGTAACAAAAATGTTGTATTTTCTGGTACATCTTTATGGATTGGATTAGTCTTCTTGGTGGGTATCCTTAATTCTCTTATCTCTTGAATTCATTCGTTGCAGCTCCAAAAATGAGATGACCCCTCCCATTCCATGAATTACAGAGATTAGGGAAACTACATCCTGAAACATTTTTGCCAGCAATGATGTGGAAACATAGAGGTTCAATATAAAGAGCAGAGAATGAAGCGCCGAGTTATGCTCGTTGTGGGAAGCACAAATCGGAGATGTGCAATGACTAACATATCAGCGAAACGTAGTCTTCCTTCGCTTCTGATCTGCGCCAGACGCCTCCATCCAGCATGTGGGCGAGGGATCAAATGGCTCTCAAGAGCCCAGGTAAATTCTTTACGTTCCTGCCAATATATCGCAGGAACCTCACACGTCATTTCTGGTTTCCATCGACATGCTACGTCGCAGAAGAAAGGTTCTCCCTCTAGAATTGTCCTGCTCTCTTCATAGATCTCCATCGAGGGAATGACCGTCCATTTCTGACATGTTGCACATTGGACCGCCAGGTTATCAATTACAACCTTTCGCTTATGTGTGACAACACTTCCTTCACACTGAAGAAAGTGTGTACAAACTTCCACGGGGTCGTCCACTCGGATCGAAAAACAAACCAAAACCCGTTGGTCATAACTTGGCGGTTAAAAATGAAGGAAGCTGTGTCAAACGTCCGCGTGGTCGTCCACAAGAATCGATAACAAAACCAAAACTAAATCCCGTTGGTGATAACTTGGCGGTTAATAATGAAGGAAGCAGTGTCAAACGTCCGCGTGGTCGTCCACGAAAACCTTTTACCGGTAAATTGGGTGGACGACCACGCGGACGTTTGACACCGCTTCCTTCATTCTTAACCGCCGAATTATCACCAAAGGGTTTTGGTTTTTGTTTTCTTATCGGTCCTTGTAGATGAACACGCGGACGTTTGACACCACTTCCTTCATTCTTAACCGCCGAGTTATCACCAACGGATTTTGGTTTGTTATTCGATCCGAGTGGACGACCCCCCGGAAGTTTGAACACACTTTCTTCAGTGTGAAGGAAGTGATTTCAAACGTAAGCGAAAGGTTCTTAACCTTGCGGTCCAGTGTGCAACTTGTCAGAAATAGAGGGTCGTTCCCTCGATGGAGATCTATGAAGAGATCAGGACACATATGGAGGAAGAACCTTTCTTCTGCGACGTAGCATGTCAATGGAAACCAGGAATGACGTGTGAGGTTCCTGCCAATATATCACAGGAACGTACATAATCTATCTGGGCTCTTGAGATCCATTTGATCCCTTGCCCACGCGCTGGATGGAGGCGTCTGATGCAGATCATAAGCGAAGGAGGACTATGTTTCGCTGATATATTAGTCACTCTTCTCTAATTTTATGTTACAAGACACTTTTTTGTTAAAAGCCTAAGTTTATAACCAATCTTTTCTTATATTTGTTTCTTTTAGCTATTATGTCACTCCCTCAGGACAAAAGCTTCGATTAGGGAAGGATGTGGAAAATTTAGTTTTTCTAGCACTCCATTTCAATCTTCTTCTTTTTTTTGTTAAGTCATTTTCCCACACAACATATTATTCCACAAATAATTGATAAAAAGCCAATTAATTAGACCTATTTTTCTGTTTCCTGATCTTGAATAATACTTAGGAATTCCTATAGATACTTATTAGACCTATCTTAACCACAATTTCACATTTGACTTGAGCTGATAAAGCTGAAATATGACTATGGTGAAAGAGTTTGTGATGAAGTGGTAAGAGCAAAAGAGGAGATAGAGGATCACAATGCAAGTGGTAGCTATGTGATTGTGGAGCTTTGGAACTATGAGGAAAACCGGAAGGCCACATTGGAGGAAGCAACAAATGTGATGTTGAAGGTGTGGTCGGATCTTGGGGGTAAGAAGACAAAAGACAAAGGCTTTGAGAGATCTATCTTAAAGAAAAAAAAAAAACAAAAGAAGATAAGAGTTTTAAGGAAAAATGGAGAGATTGACTGATGATGAGTTTTTGCCTTGTGAAAAAGGTTGTCTCTCTTTTTGAACTTATTGGTAACAACTATCAACGGTGTTTTGCTTGTACTGAACCTAGTCGCCTTGTTGGTTTCGTCATTAGTCTTTTCTCCATAATTGAACTTATTGGTATAACTAGGCCCGCGACTTTAGCCCGAACCCGATAACCCATTAACATTACCCAGCAGAAGAATCAAATTTCTCTGGACCATGAAGAGGAGAGGTCGGAATAGTGATTGTGAGGGGGAGAAAGCGACGAAGGAGAAGGAATGGGAGGAGGAGGATAGAAAATAATGATGCAAGAAGAGAGATAGTTGGGATTTAGGGTTTCAAATGTTGCTCACGATTGTGTCTGCGGCGGAATCACCGTTTTAGGTTCAACCCGAATCTGACCCGAACCCGACCGAATACCCGAACGGTTTCTAAACTTCCAAATCCGAATACCCGAAACCCGATTTAACCGACCTAAACCTGATCGGTTAACCGAAGTCGCTGGTCTAGGTATAACTATGAATACTGTTGTTGATTATATTAACTTAGGGCACACCGAAACTCATAAAGCTTTAAAAGGTTAAAGCATTATGGGCGTGTTTGGGGAGAGTCTACAGCCCAAATTAAAGTGAAACCCAATCATATGTCGATCGTAATTTTAAAAATCAAAGCCCACTTTCCTTATTTTAATTTGTTTATTTTGGCTTTACAAAGCTAATTTTATACAGCCATTGTTTATTCTCTAGAAAGATGCACATATTATTTTATTACTAGGTATTTTATCCGCACTACGCATGGATTCCGTTTTTATGTTTAAAAACAATATATGATTTTTTTTAATTTTTAATTCTTCAAAGTTTCATTGAAAAAATAATTTAATATTTTTAATATTTTAAAATTTTCTTTTATAATTATAGTTTCTTATTATTTAATCTCTTTAATTTAAAATTTTAATGAATAATTTTAATTCTTGTATAATTTGTCACAATAATAAAACAAATTTTGTTATGACAATTTCTGATTAAAAATATATTACAAACTTTTTCACATTTTCTCATTAGCATAGAGGCCCAATCACTCGAGAAGTTACATTAACCCCCAAAAGTTTATTGCCCTACTATTTTGAGTTGAATATAAATAACCAAATCTCCAATTTTCGGTTTGAGAGTGGATTTTGCCAGCAATGATTCAGCTCGCCAATATTGAGGAAATCTTTTAGAAAAATTGAAATTATTTACGTCATTAGAATTGTTTGTTCAGATTCGCCAGCTGAAATTTATGAGGAGTTTGTTTTTCTTGTTTTTTCCTTTTCTATGAAATTGGAAAAATAAGAAGAATTGTAAGAGAATCGGTATAAACTCTACATCATCAAATCGATTATCTTCGTCAATTGGGTTAAATTATTTTTCAACTTTTTAGTCATCGCATATATTAATGTTCAAACAACAATACAATACGAAATGAGAAATGACAGAAATTGAAACATACAGAAACGGAAAAAGAAAAAAAAAATTCGAAGATTTACCAGCACCTAAGAAGATAGCTAGTTCTAGTCACTTGAAGAGATATGGAACTGAAAGTGATCTTGATGAAACCGATAGATCTGAGAAAAGAGAAAGATTGAGCGAAATAGAAGAAGCTAGAGAAAAGATTGGAGGCGGCGGCAGCAATAAGAAATAGATTAGTGTAAAGTTGAAAGGAAACCCTAAAACACTTCGACCCCTTAAATAGTGAAAAAAATAACAAACGACATAGTTTTGATTTAATGAAAGCTAAGAGATACTCTATTCCACTTCGACCCCTTAAATATTCTTTTCTTCCCATCTACACCAATACATTGCAAACAATATTGATTGATTTTTTTTCTAACCATATGATGTATTTCCCATATACATTTATTATATATCTCGAGAGAGATTTACAGTATGAGTGACTTTTTAAGTTGTGTTTACAAAAAGAGGGACTTTTGATCAAAGGTGCACTTATTTTGGATTTTAGTGGCTGGAGGATTTCCATTCTACCCTTAATGAAATTGGAGTAAAAACTTGTTACCATGGTCTATGTTGTACAATGAAAGCTTGGACGATATTGTTGTACCATTGATATGTGTTTGTACGGTTGAGCTGCGGACAATTGAACGATGAACGCAAGAGGCAAGAGACATGAATTTTGATACATATTAAATTCGATTGTACATAATCAATAATCTGATATTCGCTAATATTTGGAGGAGTTTGTTTGTTTAATTATGGACATTTGAAAATGGATAGTTTTTATAGTTTTATGTATAAGAGTTTGGCCCAAATTTGGATCCTCGTAAGTAGAGAGGCAGTTCGATCCCAGCCACCAGTTATATTGTTTTCATAATTTAACAGACTACTGACATGGATGAAGGCATGAAGCAGAAGAAGAAAAGATGGAGTTGGCTCGGCCATATATAGATGCTAATGCACACAACATATAATTTGTATCCACGAAAATCAATCCACGGTAAAAACTATCCAAATAATATTGTACAACAAAATAGCATCCACGTTATCTGCTGTATTTGAGGATCGTCGACAGATTAAAAGCTATGGGAGAACTCGACCAAACTTTTATCCAAGCTGTTTAATTAAACATTTATTAATGAGTCTTTCATCATCCATTTGCTGGGTAATGTTACATTAGAGGTGATTTTGGGTTTGGGATTACCTATTGCTTTTGATATTAGGTATTTTCTGTTCTCAAATGTTTTCCATGGTCAAAGTAAGAGAAGAATTATTTTTAGCATACGGTTGAATAAACAACACATATAAGCAAATTTAATATTAGAACTCGACAATTGATCGAACACTTGGCATGCATTTTTGTAAATTAAAAAACATCCACATCCAAACTATCCAAAAATTACCAGCGAACATTCTATCCACAGAAAAGCATCTATGGCAAAATACTAAAGTTGATATATGTGACAAGAAGCTTTTCTTACAAGCACATATGGAGGTAGCAAAAAAATAGATTCCTCAAATGAGCTCGTTCTGAAACTAAATATCACTGTAAACATTAGTAAATGCAATTGAAGAGAAAAGTCATTTTGAAATTTGTGTTCTCTATTTTGAAATTAAGTTAGCGATGCAAACAAGAAGGGACAAAAAAATATCTCGGAAAAGAGAAGAAACACAGAAGAAGAAAAAAAGAAAAAAAGAATCAAAACAGAAAGTGGATGGAAAAGAAAACGAGATTCGGTGAAACCTACAAAAATCAACCCAGCCAAACGAGATTTGGTGAACTGGAGTGAATTGTATCATGGCTGACAAAACGGGGTTTCACAAAAAGGAATGAACGAATTTTCTATGTCGGAGAGGAAGAAGTAAAAAGATGAGAGGTAAAAAAGCATTGAGAAAAATGTGAAAATAAATAAAACAAGGAGAGTTTTGTAAATTCACTTACTGAAAAGTGCACCACTTTCAATAAGTCCCTCAAAGTGTAAAACCAAACTCAAAAAGTCCACCTGAGTGTAATTTTCTCTATATCTCTCTCATTCCCTCTCCCTGTGACCCTCTCTCTCCTTCTCTCTCATAAACGTAACATATTAAACTATGAATTGCATTTTGGTGCGGTGTTAATTTAGAACTCATTATCTATCTCACATTTTATTTTTCTCTAGTCATTTTCAACATATTTCTTTCATTTAAATGTTGTATAATTTTTATAAGATTTTTTTTTTCACTTTGTACTCAATATTATGTTGCATCTTATCCATTTTTTTCTTTACCCATTTGATGTAAATAAATACTTTGATAAGCTTGTATAAATAGAAGTGTAAAACTAAAATTATGAAATTATGGTTTTTTTAAGATGAATAAATATAAAAGTTATCTTTTACAAAAAAAATGACTTTTCAAATTCTAGCTAAACCTATTAAATTAATATATGATAGTTATTTTGAAAATTAAAATTTAATAATAATAACAATAATAAATTAATTAAATAATTTGAAATTAACAAATAACATAATGATATGTTATGATTTTAAACATCTTTTGTGATGAGATAGCAGCCTAAGAAAAAAGCTCATTTTACTTTATCTATATATATATATATATATATATATATATAGGAAAACTAAAAGAAAATACCTCATTTTATTTTTATATATATAGATTATTTCGTCTTGACTAGTGTTTAGCAAAACTAAATCAAACAA